TTGTCTAATTCAATTTCTGCCTGTTTACGTTTTTGTTCAATATCTGATAATTTTGAAACTATATTAAATATTGAACAAGAATTGTAATAAGATTCAGAACGATGATGACTTCGTGAAGAACATGAAGAATTATTTTGAGGTGCAAATTTAACTTTAGAATTTTTATTCTTAATATTATTCTTATTGTCATTATTATTATTATTATTATTATTATTGTTCTTGTAGTTATTCTTGTTGTTGTTGTTGTTATTATTATTATTGGAAATAATAGAACGACGAGACGAACAATTTGAAGTTTGAGAACATTTTTCAGAGAGGTATTCAGATTCCACTGGATTATAGTAAGAGGCAAACATTTTTTAAAATATATATTAAAAATATAATGAAGGTTAGATATATATATAATTATCAGATTTTATATATGTCTTTGTTCTTTAAAGTTTATTTACAAATTGAAATGAATAATAATATTTTTTTACACTTCTTTGAAGCGAGTTTATATATATAGTTATTTTTTGAAAAATTCTGAAATTTGGGAAAAAACTCTGCCCCTTTTATATTAAAAAAAAAAAAAAGTGACTATAATTTAAAAATATATTTTAAGCGGATAATATATTTTTATTTTTATTTTTATTTTTTATTCTTCATTTCATTATACTAAAAATATTTTATAATAATATAAAATATTATCATAATCATATCATAATCAGTTACGTATATATATAATATATAATAATATATAATATATATAATATATATAATATATCATATTTATATTTTATCAGTTATTATAAGTTATTCTTATTATAAACATACATCATATTATTATAAACATCATATTATTATTTTTATATTATAAAAATATGCAAGAAAAAACCACCCAACAAACATGATTAACCACAACATATGATTTATATAACGCGATTACAGATGATTACAAAAACAAGAAGATAGAGTTTTTTGATAAACCTGTTGTTAGACTTTTAGGTAGAATCTGTAATCTGTATACTACATAAATAATATTAATATAGTGTGAAATAGTTGAAATATCGTAAAATATAGTGTGAAATAATTGATTATAAATAAATCTATATATATATTATTTGAGTATAATATATATTATTATTATTATTATTATTATTATTATTATTATAATAAAGAATGGTATGAAATAAGGAAATAGAGACAGAGCAATTGAATATAATTGAGTATAATCGAGTATAATAGTGCATAACAATAATACTATAATATTGCATGAACAGGGTGACACAAGTAGTACAATCAGTACATCATCGTACATCGTCTTAATTTATTCGAAGTCTCTTTTTTTTAGGAATTTGGTGTAAAACATATAAAAAAAAAATTTTTGTATATGTTGAATATTTTTCTTAAATTCTTCATAATTTCTAAACGTATTTCTGTCGTCATCACCTTTTCACTATCCAAAAAATCAATTCCAATTTTCTATGCCACAACTTCGCCTTTCTCTTCGCATTTCCGCAATGAAAAAATGAAAAAATAGAAAAATAGAAAACTGGTTACCTCAAATTATATATATATATTATGATGATGACGTTGTTGTTGTTGTTGTTGTTGTTGTTGTCC